AGCCTCCCTCTGCGCGGCCGCGCTTCAGCACCGGCGGCGGGGGGCCCACTGCGCTGTCTTCCGTGCCATCATCCCTCAGGGAGTACGTAGGTGGTGAAACAGCATTAACAGACACTCAGGAGGCCTAGAGAGGGTAAATTCAGGCCAGAAAGTGTTTTGCAGATGTGAAGTTGCAGAGAAACGTGGGGTTTTGATTTCCATCAGGGAATCTTGGGATGGAGCTCCATTTTCTATTCAATTGGTGGAAAAACCAGAGCCAGTGCCCAGATCTGGTCATCCAAATGCTTCTGGGCTTTGGGAAGATTTCCGGGAGGTCGTGGGGCACACCCCAGCTCCCGAGAGGCACAAGAGCCTGGACCATAACGTTAATTGGGTGTTTTCCTGCTTCGAACACTCAGGGGTCTTCCAAGCTGGAGAAGGCAGAAATTCTACAAATGACGGTAGATCACTTGAAAACGCTTCACGCCACTGGAGGAACAGGTAAGAACCAGGGAAGCACGCTGGTGAGGAGAAGGAGCAAACCTGGAAGGAGGATCCCCTCCCAGCCTCAACAGCAGGCAGGACCAGCACCAGAAGGAATGCTGTCCTGCCGGCTTCCCAGGGGAGTATGTTCGAGGGGGCAGGTGGACGTTTCCAGCCCCGTTGTTCTTAGTCCAACGTATGGGTCAGCATCCCATGCGTTCGTTTGGAGGTCTGGGGTGTGTGGGACTGCAAGTCCCAGAGACCCACAGGGACAGCACCGCTGCCGAGCGCCAGCCGAGTCCTGCTCGGAAACGCAGCCCGCTCCCCCAGAAACGAGCCTGAGCTGCCTCCTCCCCGGCCACGCACCCCGCAGGGGCCGCGCTCTGCACAGGACTCGGCGAATAAACGAGGCCTTGCTGTTCCTGGCGGTGTTGGGAGGAGAGGGAGCCCCGTGCGGAATTCAACAGAGGTCGTATTTGTACCGAGGCCGCAGCGCAGAGCCTCTGTCCCGTTCCAGTCACCGGCAGGGACATCACAGCTCCAGCAGAGAGGCCTCTGGCTTGCTGCCCACCCATTTTTGGCTCGCTGGGGACGTTGCTGGCATCCGGGCTTCGGTTCAGAGCTGCGGCTCAGTCTGGAACATCAGTTTAGATGTTCAGTTTGACTGCTCCGCAACAAAGGGCGGCGTTGTCACGGGGACCCTGGCACACAGAGTGGTCCAGCGGCATTCTCTGCTTTATTGCTTGCCGTCTCCTGAAGCTGCAAGTAGGAAGCAAAAGCCTAAAAATCAGATGCCATTTGTGTTTCATCTCGCTGATTTTTGAGGCTTGGAGGTGTCTTGGCCTGGCAGGCTTGGTTCTGCCGCTGTCCCATGGCCGTGGGCCAGCCCGCTGTTTGAGCGAAGGCTAAGGACCGGGACCTGGGCAGAGGAAAACGGTGCTGAGCTGTGCCTTGAGGAGACAGTGTGCCCTGTCCTGCAGGCCCAGGGTGGTCCGTTTGCAGAGGGACCCAGTGCCCACCCAGCCCACAGTCACCTCTCCAGCTGCAGTAACTGACCGACCGATCCCTGCGCGCGGTTCGTGAACCTCGTACCGGTCCCACGTGCCGGAGTAAGAGGCTTCGTGGCCCTGGCAGTTCCATCCCGAGGAGGTGACTGCAGCTGCTGTTCTCATGCACGCAGATGTCCCGTCCTTTCAGACACCCACTTGGCAATCTGTTTTGGGAGTGTCACAGGGCAGCAAAGTGCCTCAAGTGAAATACACAGTGTGTTGGGGAGGGTAGTGAAGCCAAAGCACATTCCTGAGCTCTGCGTGGACTTACTGTCGCCCGTGTCCTCTCCCCACAGGCTTCTTAGATGCTCGAGCTCTGGCCGTGGATTACAGGAGCATTGGCTTCCGTGAGTGTCTCACTGAAGTCGTCAGGTACCTGGGCATCCTCGAGGGCCAAAATGCCACCGACCCCATCCGGCTGCGACTCCTCTCCCACCTGAATAATTACGTGGCAGAAATGGAGCCTTCGCCTGTGGCCATGTCCCTTCTGCCCATCCAGGCGTGGCCTTGGTCCTTCTTCCACAGCGCCGCTGGCCCCGTGCAGGTTCCCCGGGGGGAGGCTGCTCCCGCTCCGGTTGTTTTGACTGCATCTTCCCTGGCTTACCCAGGCCCCGCTGTGAGGCCGGCCCTGCTTCGCCGTGTCCCCAGCGACATGCTGCCATCCCGCCGAAGCTTCCTGGCCGGCAGGGTGGCCTCTTCCAGCCGGAGAGCCCGAGGCACGGGCTCGCCTGCAGCCATAGCAGCCGTGCCCAGGATGCCGTCGCCAGCGGGCATGTCGAGAGAGGGGTCGTCCAAGAGCAGCCAGATCACCACCTTCCTCTTCTCGCCGGCCTCTGCCAACGTCCCTGTTCCGCCGGCTTACGCAGTGCCTCCCGCCTTGGGCGCTGCTGCGCAGGGACCTGGAGGCAGGGTTGGGACATCCAGGATCTGCCGTTCCTGGGCAACTGAAATTGGAGCTTTCTGACCCTCCCCTCCTTTTTGGAGACAGGAATTGTTCAGCACTCATTGCCCACAGGCCTAAGAACAAACTCAGCTGAAAAGGCGTCTTCCCTGCTTTGCAAAGCCAAGGATCCCAAAAGAAAATTCCCTTGACTCTTCCCTCGCTCCTGCGCTGCCTTCCTTGCCTCACCATCACGCCTCTTCTCCCTCGTGAAGCCCACGGATGGAAATCACGGCCGGTTCGATGCACTTGTCTGCAAGCGGCTGCGCTCCAGACTTTTCCAGCTACGAGGGAGGGGGTCCCTGCACATCCCAGCCCTGTCCCTCCTTCAGCAACCCCTGCGGAGCAGAGCCCTTGGAAAACAGCCAGCCTTGACATCCCGCCTGGTTTCCTCGGGGACTCGGAGCTGCCAGAGACTCGCTCATGTTCGTTCCCCGTGATGTGTCCCCCAGCTGCAGCACCCAGTTTTGGTGTGGTGGGACAGACGCAGCTCGCCCTCCCCCCCAGCACTGCTGGCCCCCTACAAGGCAGGCAAGAGCCCCTGCCCCTCCCAGCTCCCTGAGCCAACTGCCTGCCTGCTAATCCCCGGGCTTTCCTCGCTGCCTTGCCAGCTTTTCCCATTTCTGTGCCCTGAAGTTGGAGTGAGGCAACAGCTTAACAGGGCTGGTTCCGCAGCCGAGCTGGACGAGGGACCTGCCGCAGCCCTCGCCCTGTGCCCAGGTTTGAAGAGGCGGGACGAGGGGAGCCGGAGGGTTTCACAGGGACACCTGTCACGGAGGGGAAGGCTCTGACAGCCAAAGTGAGAAGAAAAGGCCATCCCTTCTGCCCGTCTCC